ACCAGGCTCGTGTGCACGGCCCAGAGTGGACACAACTCTCTCCTCTGGAACAGGCACGGCAGGTGTGTGCCGACCAGGCTCGTGTGCACGGCCCATCCCCCCAGGAGCCCGTGGGCAGGGGTATGCTCCATGGGAGAAAGATGTGGCAGTCTGCTTCCTTAAAGATTTACAGCCTCGGAAACCCTGTGGGGGCAATTCTACTATGTCCTATAAGGTCACTATGAGTCGGAATTGAATCAACCACGGCAGTGGGTTTTGGTTGTTACACCTCAAACTTGACCAGATCATATTTGTTTACTTTTATCCTTTAATTGTCCGTTGTTGTTGTTGTTAGTTGCCACGAGTCAGCTCTGAATCGGTGACCTTATCTGTAACAGAACAAAACACTGCCTGGTCCCGCGCTGCCTTCACCATCGCTGGCGTGTCTACGCCCACTGCTGCGGTGAACGCCGTCACGAGCACGTGTAACGCTGCCTTTGGAGCGACACACAGCTGTCTGTTTCCCCACCTTACCCTCGAAGACCTCCGGCAGGGGCCAGGCCCTGTGCCCTGGGGACTCCAAGCTGGGAAAGGTGTGAGTGTCGACCCCAAAGGGCCCACAGCGCAGCGGGGAAGCCAACAAACGTGCAGGCTGAGGGGAGCCTGAGGGGCGTGGGGAGGCACATGGGGGGCAGAGAAGGTGCTCACACAGCACCAGGCACAAGATCAGCCATCCCAAGTAGACCACAGCCTATTATGAAGACACTGGACAGAGAACTGAATTTAATTAAAAATCATCTCACTTGCCTTGCTGGACCACAGAAAGTCTTTGGGGGATGATTTAAATCACTTTCTCTGAAAACACTGCCCTGATATATTATTAAGTTGAAAAAAAGGCAGCTTGTAAAATAATCCTGTCTTCATCAAACCACTCCATTTATAAGGAAAACTACACCGCTGTGTGTCTGCACAGACACACAGACACAGAGACAATCGCTCAGGAGGCCACAAAGCAGGACTGTGGGCGCTCTGAGAAGGGGCGGAGGGGAGACAGCGAGAAGCTTCCACCCTTTATTTTATGCAGACGAGGACAGAGTATAAAGACTTTGACAACAGTTATATTTGCAAAAGGAAATGAAACGTTGTTTAAGCCATTTGCAATAGCTTAACTGTCTTATCTTCAGGTAATATCCTTGGAGCACAAGATCCCAAGGGTGGTGGTACCATCCTTGGAGATGGCTCAAGAAACGTGCGACCGTATTTTTGGGTCTGAAGGCTTAGGGCGAGGGGCGCTGCTGGCATTCAGGGGGTGGGGCCAGTGCTAACCACCCTACAGGGCGTGGGCAGCCCGCATGATTAGTACATTGGGCATGAGTTCCACGTACTGCACGGACCACAGGCACGGAAACATCCCTATGCTTGTTACTGTTAGCTGCCATCGAGTCAGCCCTTAACTCATGGCGACCCCGTGCACAACAG